GGGGGGTAGGAAAATAAAATGAGAGGGGCCATGACTTACTGGTGTGTATACATCACAGAGGTGAACACCAAAGGTAGAAAAGAGCTATTTTAGCTAATGGTCGCTGCTGGGAAAAGGCTATATAGCTAGGAACTGGTTGTGAATACAAATAGGTGGGAAATCAGATTTTCACACAAAAGCAGTAGGTTTCTCATTCAGGTTTCCAACCCAAGCAGGGCAGATAGAAAACATTTACTGTTAAGATGGACTTTAGTCCTACTGTCCAATCAGCATGCCTGAGAAGCTTGCCAGATTAAAGGTGTGATTTCCTTCTGAATTTGGGCTGGTTTGTTTTGATAGCAGCCTGTTCATAGAGGCATTTTAGAGTCCTGTCTTAAAAGGTGCCACTCTACATAACGTTGTTTTGGAATTAAACGTTCCACAACGCTGTATAAATGCATTTGACCTAGGCAGAAGGTGGCTACCTGCTCTGTTGTTCCCAGGGCAAATGCTAGATTCACTGGTTTCCCTCCAGGCCTGGAGATGGTTTCAGTGGTAGTGGGTTTTTGGTATGTGATTAACTCTTCCACTCTGAAATCCCTCTGGCCTGCTCAGCTCAACTGTTCAGCTTGGAACGACTAAGAGCTTTTTCTTACAGTTTTCTTCCAGAATATCCTCTGTGCACGCTCCCCCTTTCTAACAGCTCCTCTCTTCCCTGCCCTGGAGGCTCAGGGCTGAGGCAGGGTCTCTTGCAGTGCAGACACCTCTGTCCCCTAAATTTTCGTTGACTACTTGCAGCTCCTGCTGCCCATAAGGCGGGCATTTCATTTTGTGGTTGCAGTCTTTTGCTCTTCACGTTACCTGTATTTACCCTTCCCAGTTCACCATCCTGGCTGCTAGTTTCCTGGGGCAGAGTCACCATTGCAGCAGTTCATGAGTGCATCAGATCTCCTCTGGGTCCATCAGAGGCTTCTATCCCTCTTTTTTCAGTTTCCACTGCATATCTGGCTCTGCTCGTCTCCTGCGAGTCCCTCAGAACTTCCTGGGCAGCCTCTCTGCTGAGTCGGAAGAATTTTATAACATCGCCTGAAATTTTCAGGCTTTTTCTATTGACTTCCTCTTTTTTTTCTGGAATCTCCCTTTTGACTTTACTAGCATGACATTATTGCTGGGGCAAATTTCTGTCCTTTCCTCTTGCGAAGGACTGAATCGCACTTTAGGCATGGTTATTTAATGTCCTTCCAGGGCTCTCATGTCTATCTCCTGCAGCCCATGAATCCCAGCAGCCACGGCACTCCCCTGCTCAGCTCAGCCATGAAGCCTCTCTCTTTGGACAATCTCTTGCACTTTCCAGCTGAGGGGGGCTGATTTTTTCTTCTGCGAGTCCCCAAACAGAGGTTTATGGTATAGCAAACAAGAAGCTGTCACATGTGAGATTTGCTCTTGGGGCCAAGCCTGGAGTAATGGCAACCACGGGCACTTTGTTCTAAAAAACTTCTAAAAAACAGCTCCTTCCCAGGAACCTGCCATAAGCCTGCTGGGTGTACTCCTACTGTTATAACATGGCAAGGCCCTCTCTTTCTCCAGATTCAGGGTGCTCTTTGTTGCAAAAACTACTTCCTATCCCAATCTAGATGTTTCAGTGCAGTCTCAGGGCTGGGGATCCACCCACCTCTGCATGCCCAGAGCCCCTCCGTAACGGTGCCCCTGCCACTACTGAAAATGCCTTGCAGGAAAATGCAAACGAGTCAAAAGAGCCAGAAATATAAAACATATAGCTGGGGCTTGCATCTGGACCCGTCTTGTGCCCACTCCTCCGGCTTTCCATCTCTTTGTGAGTCTGGGATCAGAGAGACATCTGCAATTGCTGCCCACAGAGATGACAGCGTGGGTTCTTTTCTAGAACAGGGTTACCCCATCTTGTGCGCTCCAGCCCAGGGCCCCTGGGGAAGTGCATGTAAAGCAGACCCCAGTTTGCCAGGTCCCTCTTCCATGGGTTTTATCTCCTGAGATCACCAAGCATCCACATGAGAAGCTGGGCCACCACAATACAACACTGGTCTAAGAGCCCAGATTTCAGGCTGTCTGGGTCCCTGCTGCAGTCTTAAGTGATTTCTGCCACCAATGACATATTCCAGCTGTCCCACAGTCCCCATCAAAGTGAGCAGCAGGCTGGGAACTCACATGTCAAGGGTGTGCCTCATGCACCTTTGCCTCCTGAAGTTTGAACACAGGTGCCAGGGAAGTTCTGACACAAAAGGTTGGTGTCTGCCTCTGGTGACAAAGAATAAAAATCCTGGCCACAAGAGACAAGGATAGACACTGCTGACTCAGAGCACACAGGGCAAGAGAGAAGTGAGGTAGCAATAAAACACCAGCCACTGAAATGAGATGCCAGGATGGCAGCACATTTGCAGGGAAGAAGAGGAGGAAGCTTGCTTGAGAGCAATTCTGCAGCCACAAGCAGTGAAGGCAGGATGTGAACTCATCACACTGCTGGTGACTGGGCTCTTCAGAAACAGCAGCGCAGGGAGGAAAAGGTCAAGGGAGCAGATGACTTAGCAGTCAATCACCCGCACTGCAGCACCCACCTCCCAGGTCAGGGTTAATCCTGGATACAGGCCACGTGAACAGGGACCAGTTGATCCCCAGCAGGTAGGTCCCTGGAGCGGGGGTGCCATCTCTGAGGATGCTGAGATGCCTCTGCTTGGCAGTTTCAGGGAATCAGGCGCTGGGATGAAGGGATGCACAGAGGTGGCACCGGGTGCATGGTAATGCTTTAGCTTATCAGCCAGGAGCTGGATACAGCTCTGGTTCTCTGACACTGGGGCTGTTGGGCAAAGCCTAGCTAGGATTAAACCCCATCTGCTCGCTCCTACAGGTCAGATTAGGAGCAGCTGGCCCAGCAAGAATACGCAGTTGCCCTCTAAGGTGTTTAGGAGGGGAGGAAGAGCCCCTCTTGGTTAGAGCAAGTGTTTTTTCAGAGAGAAATAGACACCAGGACTAGGTAAGAGTCAACTTCCCCCACAGAGATCAACACTCACTGTGTCACTCCAAGGTTAGACTTCCTCCCTTTCCAGGTGATCTACCAATACTTCCTCACTGCTGCAATGTTTTATCTTCTGGTTTTTGCTGCAGCTTGAGAACAGAACATCAGGATTCATCCTGCACGGACACAGAGGATGAATTTGTCCTTTCCACTTTACAGCAGCAGTTTATGTAGTTGCAAACTGTTTTCAGGCCGCCCTTACCTTCTCTTTAGACTACACACGGCAGTCCTGTCATGCTCCGCAAGTTTAATAGGCCTATGCTTGATTCAAATGGCATTAATGAAAATATCGAATAGCACCAAACCTGTGGGGTCCCACATGCTTCTGGCAGTCACTGATGAAATCCACTCTGAGGGCTATTTTCACAGTCCAATGAGAACAGTGATGTGTCAGGACTATTACAAGCTCTCTCTGCAATACTGGGAGCAAGCTCATACCCACGGGACTAAGCTGTTTGTGTAATAATCACTTCTCAGACTATGGAGATTACACATTTTGAATCCCCATCAAAAACTGTGTCAAGTTAACCTCCAGGAAGAGAACATCAGCAGGCTGAGGCTAGTGTGGGAGCACACAAATCGGTAGAGATTCTCAAGGCATAGCCCCAGGTTTCCCAGCCAAGCCTTTCTGAGCTGCTACGGAGCATGGCCCGAGCTGTGCAGCAAAGCTGCCATCTGCCGACTGCTGCCTGCAGGTCCACGGGCCTTCGCCACAGTCAGCCATATGTTGGGCCTCAAATGTTCAGCAAAGATGCTGAGAGCATCCTCACATAAATATCACACTCTTTAGGATGACAAATCTTACAATTATTGACTGGAATAACGTATCTGTATTCTTCTTGCTTTGGGGGAATTCAGGGCTCATGCGTCTCACGTTTTCTTCACCCGAAGCTAAGACAATATCACTTTCTCCTTAGCACAGCAGTAGTGCTGCTTTTAAGAAAAGTAGTCAATACTGCAAGTAATGGAAGAACGAGTATGAGCATCAGAAGCACTGACATACAGAATGTAATTGCTGCAAATATTTACTTAGGTATTAAGCAAGCTAGTGCCCGGGTGCACTTCTCTGCAGGCTCGCTCCCAGCAACAACCCAGTGCACCTGCAGTTCTGCAAGCATTTCTCCAGCAGATCCCACTGCCTCCTGCCTCCATGTCACCTTTCAAATGACACCCATACAGGGATGCAGGAGCATGGTCCTCTGCTGCAGGTGAGCAATGCACAGCAAGAACATCTTTGAACCAGCAAGCTAAGGCAGCTTGTGCAGCCAGGTTTCATTTTTAAGCTGGCAGCAGCATGTTTCTACAGAACAGAACCTGTCCTTGTTTTCATTGTGACATACAGGGTTTTTCCAATTGAGGCCAAGGAAATGAATTAATCTAACATGCACGTGGAGCAGTTCTCTTCCCCTCCACACTGTCCCATAACTCAGCTCAGATGTGACAGTGAGGGGAAGCCCCAGCACATGTAGCAGAACAAGGGCACAAGCTTGGTTATTTGTGGCAAGACCCATGAAGAAGGAACAGGAAGAGAACACCAAGGAAAGCCCAGCACTTCTCTGCCCTCCCTTCCTCAAAATCTGAGGATGCCAAGTTCAGGGTTCCTGTGGGGTTTTTGGGGGTTTTTGGGTTTTTTTTTTGTTTTTGTTTTGTTTTGTTTGTTTGTTTTTACCTCTAGGACCATTTCTAACCACACCACTGTCCAGTTCTGGCCAGTGCCACCAGCCCAATGCTGGGCCTCTTCCTTCTTTGTCTTTTCCATTTCACACAGGAGGCTTTTCCCAGACAGATCAGAAATTATGCATGGAATAGTCAATAGTCTGCAAACGTGTCATACATCAGACAAGGAGCCACCAACAGAACTAATGCCCTCCCCTCCCTCTGCCCACCCCTCTCAAGGCTGGGACAACAGGACACTAGCAGATAGCTGCAATGTATATCTTGCCACGTAACCGTCACAACAGTTAAAAGTCTGAGGACAGAGTTGGCTACAGATGCTCTCCTCCAATGTGTTCTCACCTGCTGCAGATGTGTACCCAGGAGATTTGCATATTTGTTCTTGAAACCTGCCTTGTTAGTGTTGTTGCAATGTTGACATTTTTTTTTTGTTTTTGTTTTGTTTTGTTTGTTTGTTTTTACCTCTAGGACCATTTCTAACCACACCACTGTCCAGTTCTGGCCAGTGCCACCAGCCCAATGCTGGGCCTCTTCCTTCTTTGTCTTTTCCATTTCACACAGGAGGCTTTTCCCAGACAGATCAGAAATTATGCATGGAATAGTCAATAGTCTGCAAACGTGTCATACATCAGACAAGGAGCCACCAACAGAACTAATGCCCTCCCCTCCCTCTGCCCACCCCTCTCAAGGCTGGGACAACAGGACACTAGCAGATAGCTGCAATGTATATCTTGCCACGTAACCGTCACAACAGTTAAAAGTCTGAGGACAGAGTTGGCTACAGATGCTCTCCTCCAATGTGTTCTCACCTGCTGCAGATGTGTACCCAGGAGATTTGCATATTTGTTCTTGAAACCTGCCTTGTTAGTGTTGTTGCAATGTTGACACACCATTCAGCTCAAAGCTGCTATAGGATGTAGAAATTGAAGATTTTTATTAAACGTATTGTTTTAATCTTAGCTTTTAGGACTAGATACTTAAGAACATTAACATCCATTTTTACATTACAACTCACATGCTCAACTGTGCTAACACTTTAGCTACAGCCACGTATCATCCACTTCCCCAGAAGTCCTCAGACTGAAGACTCATTGGTGAAACAGACAATTAACACACAAAACCAGAAAACACAAGTAGGTTTCACTAATGAGGCAGACATTTTCTTGTATGCACCTCTCTATCAGAAACAAGTCAAACTTTAGCAGATACCATTAGCATCTTTTGTCTTTGTCTAATTTGGGAGCTGCGTTGCACAGAACTGGGAAACAAGTTTATGTATGCAAAGTTTGCTGGAGCGGCAAGCAACAGAAAGTGCTTGATATAGACAGAAACTGCAGAGAGAAACAGCAGCTTTGCATTCCAAACAAAGGATTCCCGCAGGAATATGAGAGGTATTTGAAGACGTCCACCTCTACGTCTGGAATTACAAGCTGAGCTTTCTCGCAGATAAATGCAAATCAATTAAGTAAACAGGAAAACGTTTGGGGAGGAAAAGGAAAATATTTGGCAGGCAAACACTAACATGTTGAGCAGCTCAGAGAGTCATGCCCCACGGACAGGACCGAAAACTGAATTAATCTATTGTGTGGATAAGCACCAGGCCCACGTATGAATTTTTTCTCATCACAAGTATCTCCCACTGGACACTAGCTGCCTAGCCTCCTTTCTACACAAGTACAGTACCGTAGTGATAGTCAGCATGTAAAAACACTTAGGGGAGGAGGGTTTAGTTAAGTACAAAGCATTTCTTCAAAAGTGCATAGAAAGTAAACACAATGCTCCTCCACGTTGGTTGGTTTGACATTATACCCAAAGACATTAGCCATTTTACCTTGGCATTTCTAGTGCTTCCAGCTTATGCTGTCTGTTTGGAAGCTCAATGGCACCCTACTAACTACAGAACCACACATTTTTTATGCCGATGCCTGTCAGCAGAGTTGTGCAAGTGTCCTTGTACAGGTGCATTTTGCAGCAGCCAAACAGATTGCCACCAGGTTCTACCAGTATGGTAAGGAAATGAGAGGCTTCAAATGTAGATCACATCC